TTATTGATAGCAGTACTAATAAAAATTACAAATTATGTAAATCTTGGTATCTTGTACTATGTACAAGAATATAAAAATATGCAGCATAGAATTTTAGAATTGGACAGTGTATATATAAAAAGGTTTTGTGTATAATCAACGCTCAAAATAAAATTATGCGCCAACTTTAAAAAAAAATCAGTTAATTAAAAACAAAAATGATATTTTTAGAATTAATCCCTCATACATCAAAATAGTCTGATAAATTAGATCAGATGTAAGATTCATTAAATGTAGATTATATATTTATCATTGGAATGTAAATACATGCAAACAAATCTAATAATAATTAAATGTAGATTATAGATGTAGTATTGGAATGTAACGAATTTCAAATAAACATAACATTCAGTAAACGTGGATTACATATTTACTACTGGAATATAAAGACTGTTTGGCAAACACACAAAAATATTTACTTGTAAAACAAATTTGTTCTCCCAGATCTCTGAACTTAAATTGTTGAAATCTCGTTATTTGTTACATGGCTATATGATTTTGGCGCCAAATGCAAAATGTAAGGCACAGTACTCTTTTACAACAAATCATCTCAAATATTTTGGCTGCAACTTATATTTGCTGTTATTTGTACTTACAAAATTAGGCTTTGTTATTTTTCTATGAAATAACAAAATATTCATGACTCTTGAAATGAATACTCAGATTTTAAAAGAAAACAAATATCTATTAATCCGTAACGTTAAAAAAGGGAGCATGAACCTGAGAGAATTCCCCACCCAAATCTTTCAAAGAAAAGACCATCCTTTTACACAGGTCTTTAATAAAATTGTTAACAATTTTTTTATTTATTTTTAAAAAGGGGCGGGGAAGACCACACAAATCCTGAAATAAATAAAGATTTATAAAGGCAATAATCAACAAACATGAACAAAGTTGAGCTTTAACTCGAATATGTTGCCCTAGAACTAAAAATAATAAGGATCAGTGACTCATTCTACGTCTGCATGACCTCTAACAATGTCATAACAGGAAAATTATGACGTCAACATGGCTTCAAAAAAGGCAATGTGGTTCATAAGAAAACTCATCTAAATGCTATTCTGAATAAATACGAGTACCCTGACCTCCTAAATATTGTGAACGTAGCCATTATCAATAACTTTTTCAGTCCCATGTGTATGTTGTGTAATAGACTTTTTTACATGAATCGCAGCAATCGTGTAATGTGGTCACCCCACTCTGCTGTTTGTCACAGCACACTAAAAATATCTGGCTTCCATATTAACCACTTAAATCTCGGTCTAGAAAAGTCGGCTAAATAACATTTATGGGAAACTGGAGCAAACTGGAAGTGTCGGTTGTGCAACTTCTCGAGGCGACAGGGCAAATAAGGTTTGGGGTAAAGGCAAAGATTAATTACTGTCAAAAATGTTAAACAAGCACATAAAATATGTTTAAAAAAAACCATAGATGAACAAACTACATACAACATGCTACCCCATCTTAAATGTGTAATTCAGCAACCACTATATATATATATTTACTTAAGAGCTGCTATAGTGAAACTAACAGCACTCTTGCCTATCAACATGGTTATCAAATGTTCAGTGTGCCATTTTCACTATGATTATTTTTTTTTTTTAATCTTGACCTGGTTCAAGTCAAACTAGTCAGAAATAGGACCTTAAACTTTCTGGAAATAAAGGTGGCTGATGAGATTATGACCATATCACCCACTGAGTAATGATTGGTCTATTCAAATATGACCATATCACCCACTGAGTAATGATTGGTCTATTCAAATATGACCATATCACCCACTGAGTAATGATTGGTCTTTTCAAATATGACCATATCACCCACTGAGTAATGATTGGTCTATTCAAATATGACCATATCACTCACTGAGTAATGATTGGTCTATTCAAATATGACCATATCACCCACTGAGTAATGACTGGTCTATTCAAATATGACTCTATCACCCATTGAGTAATGATTGGTCTATTCAAATATGAGACTCGTGCTACACATTGGATTGTTCTTTGCTCCTTCCTTAGGGTCTGCTGGTCTTATGACTGAGTTCCTTTCTGACTAACATGCTGTAAGTCACATTGGTTGTAAGTCAAATTTATGTATTTCAACAGTATCATTCAAACAGATTATAAAAATTGTAAGCAACACACACACACACAAATGCATCTATGCACGTATAATCATTGCACAAAATGTGAAAAATACATATTATGTACTCTGTTGCATCAGTTCCTGGAACATTTTGACTCTACCAATGTGGTCTCTTTCTTTCTGTATTTTTCAGTGTGTGTGATTATAAGTGCGGATGGTTTTAACTTGCACAGGTAATGAGTCGAGAAGGAAAAAAAAAAAAAAAAAAATATATATATATATATATATATAACATTAACATTAAAATGCAATATAGGCATAAAAATGAAAGACCATAGAAATCTCATAGAATTAGCAGTAAGGGTAAATATTACATATAAGAAGTATTTTCATCACCAAACACACACCCACACTGGACAACAGGTTACGGCCTAACCATCAGGTGGTGCCTCAGTAAAATTGTGCTGAATGGGTTTATGGTTTTACAGGGTTTTTGGAAAATGCACCTTTCTTATTTTTATCTTTCAGATGTTACTCTTACAGACTGCAATGCTAGAGGGAAAGAACATTAAAAAAATTTCCCCCCCCATAAAAATATGGGTTTTGTGTGTGTGTTGTGCATAAAAGTTACATTAAAGGACCCTTTTCCACACCTTTAGGTGTATTTGGTATATAGGGCTGGACCTATATTTTATGGACCAATCGGCACAGGGTGGGTGATGTGGTCAGCATCATGCCAGCTGCCTTTACTTCCCAGGATTTTACTTGGTACCCACTCAAGGCTGGATTGACCTGAGAGCCAAGGTCATTTTTGGAGAAAAGTCCAGCTCCATCAGGAACTGAGCCCATGACCTTCTGATCCGCAGGCCAGCATTTAGCAACTACACAAAAGTAGCTTTCTGTTTTTTTGCATAGGAAGACAGCTAATAGCTGTTGAGTATTTGTACTAGTAATAACCTGTTGAACACTTCTGGTAAAATTATGAAAGACCTGTATTTGTGGCATGTAACTTTCACAAAACTTTCAGTTTAATCTATTTTCCTATTTTAAACTCTTTCAGTTCCAGAGAATGGCTGCTCTAACTATTTCTGTCTAAAGCAGTTGTCACTTCAAACTAGACATTGTTGCAGCCAAAGTTATTCAATCATTAAACCTGCTGAACAGAAAAAGTTGTAATTATTAGCCTGGCTCGCTAGTGCAGTTGGTTAAAACAATCTGCGCGGTGACCGGGTGACGAACTCCTTGTGGTCTGGGTTCACGCCCAGGGGCAGGTAGAAAAGCCACATTTCTCCCAGTTTTACGGTATCTATCATGGAATCAAGGCCGGAGGGTTGCGATATCCATAGTACCGAGCCAAAGGGTTAATAACTTATGGTTTCTGGATACTTAAGTTTAAAAAAGTAACCATTACAATAGAGAGCATTAATGTAGCAAATGGATGAAACAGAAAGTATTGAGTAAAGCATATCATGTAAGGCAGTAATTCCCAACCTGTTTCTTTTTTTTCTTCTTCTTCCCATTCACTGGCTGAACACTCCGGTGGAAAGTTCTTGTTGTTTGTCAACTTCTGGACTTTAGCCTTGCTCCAAAACGTGAAGTTTGCATGCACATCCATTTTACATATCTGTCTTTTTTGTATGCAAATAGTTGATTACTTGCCTCTCAAACAGACGTACTCCAACTTCAAGGAAACCCCTAATTAGTCAACTCTTACGGCATGCTTCTTAGAGAGGCAGTGGGTCTGTTCTTGTTTTCCCCCACAACAGAACCCCAGAACCCACATGAAGACCAACCTGTTTGACCTATGGAGCCTTTTTTTAAATTCATTTTTATAGTGGAGCTCCTTAGGCCTACCCTAGTTTATGTCTTCCTGAGTTAACTGTGTTTGGAAGTAATGTTATGGAGCAGAGGAAGATTGGGGTAGATAGTAAGGGAATGTAATATAAATTGTGCATGTATATGAAATGAAATAATACTTAAAAACTTAGAAATTTACCATAATTTGTCTATTTATTTTCAGATACCACCAATACATATGGTACTGTCAAAACCTGGCCATACATAAACATTTTTCCAAAGTGTTTAGCTAATCAAACCATATGTTTTAGAATCGATTTTACATTAATGGAGACAGCAACAATAGGATCCATAAAACAGTACATAAACATCTAATAAAACATCTGTGGTTGCATTTTTTCAGCACAATTTTCATTTTTCAGATTCAGTTGATAAATACTGAAGGGTGAATGCCTGGTCCTGCATTTAAATGACTTATGTATTTTATTTCAGTAGCTGTGTAATAAAGAACCTGCTTCACAGATATATGTAGTCTGCCTGTCTTGCTTTCAGGCTACAAAAATTTTGGAGCTAGTTAGAGAATTACCAAGCATCATCTGCAAGAGGAAGCGACTAATTTAACTTGGCAACTTTCCATTCATAATGTTATGTTTAGTTTTCTTATTTTGATTCTACTTCTCCTTTCTTAATATTTTATTTAATTCAAAAAATTTTTTTTCATGCATCAGCCACAGGGACACTGGTATGTGGAGCACCTGAGACTTCACTGAGTAAAAGCTGAAAACCTCTGATGTAAGGAGTTCCTAAATAACACTTCCTACGAAGAGAGGCATTAAAGAATACCATGAAGACAGGAAAAAATCAGAGGCAGAAAGAGGCTGTTCAAGACAAATCATGCCAGATGATTTAAGACGAAGGCATAGAAGAATATCATCGACTAAATTTAAAAAGAACAGCCAGCATTGAATATTTACACCAAATAAATAACCAAAAAATAGAATAAAAAATGGCAATTAAAAACATATCCTATTTATGTAAAACTAAAAATTATGGTAAGAAAAAATGGCTGTCTTCGTTTAATTGGCAACATTAGTCAGTTTAAAAACCCAGGCCCACATGCATGGCAGTTGATTGAAAGGGATAGCTGGGATCTGAATCTGCAGGCCAGAGTTTGCCAGAGGGGACCATGAAAATGGGGTGTTGTATCCGAGCATGGTGACCGTTGTGTTGGCAGTCGTCACGGGACTGGCCAGTGTCAGGTTGGAGGATTCTGGCCAGGAGAGAACAATGGCATAGACATTGATCACCGTTCCATTGTCTGCTCTTGTGCTTGTGTACCTGAAGATGTAAATTTTTTGTTAAGCTCAGTATTTTTTAAGAATGTAAAAAAAAAAAACATTGACATTAAAAGTGTATTTATATTTATTTTTACATCTATGGCTAAGCACTGAAAATGCATTTCGAAATTCCGAGGTGATGATTCAATCCCAGTTGTTGGCAATTTGCCAGCAGACCCCTTTGTGTTGGTTTTGACAGTAGTATCGCGATCCGACCATTCAGGAAGCAATGGCAAAATAATGAACATAAAATTGCCTTGTGAAATCACAAACAGCAAAAAAAAAAAAAAAAATGCTGGGGTTGGTTCTGCAAACATCCTGTAAAAGGATGCAACACTAACTTATATGTACTGATATTCTTCTTCTACTGCATCTGCTCCTAAAAGGGTGGTTGAGACATTAGGCTGTGGTTTGCAGCTAGGTTGCAATATCTGCACCCATCCACTCCTTAAATGGATCCCCAGAACCCACAGAGGGAATTGGTAAAAAAAAACAATGATAAGAAAAGTATTTTTTGTGTGTTTAAAAAGTGAAGAGCTCTTTTTCACCCTTTGTGATCTGGGTATATGGTGCTCACTCCATATTTGTAGAGACTGACCATCACTAGATGGGCAATGTGATCAATATCTTGCCAGACACCTTTACTTCCCATAAGATTTAAGAGCAGCCAACACAAATATCCAAGAAAGGTGGTTGGATACCCCAATCAAACTTTCACCTCAAGATTCACTACATCACCTCTCAATGGATGGTCAATACACCATATTCAAACTAAGGATAGGGCACAACAGATTTGACAACATATATTCAAGTTTTTCAGTATCAGTGCCAGTGGAACTAGAACTCTATGCTTGCTGCTTAATGGGGGACAGAACACTTATTAGAATGTCTTGAGTGCTGTGATATTAATTCTTAATTAAATATTACACAGTATCAGAAACATGGAGATGTGTTCTTGTAACTGGCACCAGAAAATGCTGAGCATGCATTCCAACACCGTAGACTGTATGCTGCTAACAGAGAGGTCACCTGGTCTGTTCCAACCTCAATCAAGACAACGCTGTATGGTAGACAGGAAGATTTGGGCTGCAAGACGGCTTTCTCAAAGGCTGCTGGCCTTCTGATATAAGGTTTTTCTGATAGAAGGATCGAGGGAGCAGAAGACTAATGTAAGCTGAGAGTTAAATAAAAAATTTATGGTGGATATGGGAAGAGCTGCCTGTGATAACAAATGTTAGGATGACCTGGCATAAACTGGCTAGGGGCCTATACTCTGCTGAGGAATTCTTTTTCTTTGTTCACTGGCTGTAACTTCAGTGGACAGTTCTGGTTGTTGTTCCAATTCTGCATTTTGGCCTTGTTCCAGAACTTGAGTTTTGTGTGCACATCCAGATTACAGATCTGGCTTATTTGTATGCAGATTGCTGGTTTCTCAACTCTCAGGCAGATGCACTCCACTTTCAAAGGAAAACCCCAAATATTTTGCCTTTTACAGGTTTTTTTTTTGCGGGGGGGGGGGGGGGGGGGGGGGCATTGGGTCAATTCATTTTTACCCCCACAATGGGGTCTCCAGAACCCACACAAGGATACTAGAGGATAAAGAAGGTGAATGTAAGCTGGATTAATCTGCAAGCTCAGATCAGTGTTACAAATCCAGAGAAAATAGTCATCAAATGTGAGTGTACAATGACTTTAATGCCAGCAATCTATCTCTTGGGTGCTTTCTGGCTTTCATACCTGATCTGTTTAGGTGTGGCACTTTTTTTGGTATTCTGGACGCCTTCTTACAAGATAACCAATTCATTTGATCCAAATGATTTTGATCCCCCCCCCCCCCCCACCCCAAAAAAAAGCAATAAATTAATTTCTATATATAATTTTACTGTGTTAAATCAATGTTTTCATCAATGCAACTGAAGCCAAACAAGAAACCTCACCAAACATTAGGATTGACGCTATCGTTCTGGTGTGTCCATGGTTTTGTAGCATAGATTCCTTCACCATTCACAGACAGCCACTGTCCCATTTGTCTTAAACGTTCCTGAAACACTGGTATTATGGTTCCCTCCTTGGTAGGGCCAACATTAATCAGCAAGTTTCCTCCGCAGCTAAACAAACACAAAAAATATTTATATTTTTCATTGTCTGAGGGTACAGAAATAACCCATATAAGATACAATCATAAATTTAGTCAACTTTAAACAAAGTATACTTGAAATATTTATTCTTATGTAGATAAGAACTAATAAACGTATTTCTTCTTCTTTTTCTTAGTGTTCACCGACAAAACTCCAGCAAAAACTCCGGTTTGTTCATCCACTTGACTTTGGTCATGTTTTGAGTTCTTGAGTTTTGCATGCAGATCAATTTGACAAGATCTGGCTTACTTGTATAGAGACTGTTGGTTTCTCACCTCTCAGACAGATGCACCTCAACTTCTAAGGAAACACCCCTAATTAGTTGCTTTTTATGACACACCTGTTAGGGGGAAAGTGGGTCTATTCTCTTTCTCCAAAATGAAGCCCCAGAATCCATAAGGGAATAATAATAATAATAGGAGTACAAAAGTAACTGTCTGAGGAGGGCTGTAGGAATGATCAGAAGAGATAATCAGAATGAGGTCATAAGAGAACAAGTCACACAGAACCAAGTCTAAACTATTTACAGAGACAGCAAATCAAATGATCTGCTCACTCAGAGATAAGGCCTTGTGATTCTATACCACACAAGACATACACCAAAAGAGAAGGACGTAGAGCACAAGGCTGACCAATGACAAGATGGAAAGATAACATTAAAAAAAACCGCTACAACAGCACAATGTCTCTATGGTTGAGGCAGCCTTCAGAACAAAAAGCGGGACCTTATATCTACCTTGAAACCCAAAGTGGGAATTGAGAAAGTGAAGAAGAAGAAAACAGTAAAATTTTTTTCATGTCATTAGCATCATCATAAGCATCAAATGTCTTGCCAGCTTGTGTGGACAATTATGCTTCTCCATAAGTTTCGGTCTTCAACAACGTGTATCAGTTCATCTGCTGTCACCCTTCCATGCTGTGGCAAAAAACTGTCAAGCTTCTTCTCTAACTATCTTTATCTCTCTTTCAATAAATCTTTCTACTTGTCACAACATATTCAAATTTTTCTCTTCACATAGTGTGGCCAAAAAATGATGACTGCCTCTGTTTGTGATAAGTTATTTTCAGGTTTCAGTCTCTTTTAAAACACCTAAGTTTTTTTTTTTTAAATTGAGATATTCTAATCTAATCAAACTATACACTAGTTGTGGGTCACATGGTACAACTATTTTTGAATTTCTTTTTGTTGACTGCAACCTGAAGATTTGCGAACTGATAATATAAAATGTAACTTTTCTGGATGCCAATATAACATGAACAAATTCCAAAACCCTGTTACACTGTATATAACTGTTATTTTTGGCCACTCCGAGGCTTTTAGCTAAGGTAGTTGTGTATCCTTTACAAGACATTGCAGAGCCAAACCCAGCATTTTTTTTTTTTGCTGTTGTGGTTTTTCTACGCAAATTTTACGTTCAGTAGTTTGCCATTGTTTACTGAACGGTCAGCTCTTAGTAAAACTGTCAAAACCAACGAAAGACAAATCGTTTGCAACCTAGATCGAACCCGGTACCCTGGCATTACAAAGCGCGTTTGCAATGCCTAAACCACAGACACCAATCTTAGGTTTTAAGTAATCTGCTTTCCTTTGTTGCTAAGAACTTATTTAATGTAAAGGTACCATGGTGAAAGCATCAACCTATTCCTGCACTGTTGCTTAATTCAACAGTAGAAAAGAGACTTGATCCGTGTTTACCTCCATGCGATGAATCGCAATATACTTGAGTGTCAGTGTAAAGGGGCGAGACAGGGCTAATAATAATAAGTACACATATTTTGGACTGATTAATACAGCAGGAGTAATTCAAAATGAATAAGACCACAACAATGAATCTCTACCTGACAACTTGTGCAATGAGTGTTGTAACTTCTTCCATTGTGTTAAGATCCTCAATGTTAATATTGCGTCTGTAAGCCCAAAAATCTTTGTCCATTGTGGTAGCATCCTCAAACTTACGTTTCTGCAATGTTTCTAAAAACAAGGGGGACAATAAATATAAAAATAATTACAGTCTGTCGTCGTAGCATAGCAGCTAAATGCTCGCCTGAAGATTGGAATGTCAATAGGTTCAGGTCCTGATGGTTCCCGACTTTTTCAAAAATGACCTTGGCTCCCAGGTCAACCCAGCCTTGAATGATCACGAGGTGGAGTCCTGGGAAGTAAAGGTAGCTGGCATGATGCTGACCACATCACTCGCAAATTGCTAATTAGTCTACAAAATATAGGTCGAACCTTAAATGCTCAATGTGCCAGAAGGCGTGGAAAAGGTCCTTTACTTTTTTTACTAACTTACATTACATAGGACAACTAATATCAGTTACGAAAGACAACCAATCCTGCAACTAGACACTATAATCTTATTAAAAACCACATATAATGCAGCTAGAAACTTTAATAGCTTACAATATAGCAACTACAAATGTCAACATATCACAAAACAATTAATATAACCATTATAAACTCTCCTATCATAGAAGACATATTGCAGCTAGAAACTCTTAAATCATGCAAGGAAGTCAATAGTGGAAAAAACTGTAATATCATAATAAGCAACGTGGCACGGTGATTTCGGTCACAGGCATGAGGCAAAGTTAAGTCTGATGTGAGGTGTATAAGGAGATACTCCGTACCCCACTCGGGCGCCAGTCCTTCACTGTTCTGGTTTTACGGAACCTCATGCAAGACTCCTGCCTCACGTCCCCGTCGTGCGCCAAATGAGCATTAACAGAGTTGGCAGGGGATCTCGGAGCTGGCGGCCCCTAGAGGTGTAGTGTCCTTTCTGGCTCTCACCAGCCCGCCCCCAAACGCATGGGTGAAAAGTAACAAAATTCAAGGATTGCTTGCTAAATGTACCATCAAATGACAACTCTTGGTTAAAATTCGGGAGCGAATGGAAAACTGTGCTGCTGAGACTCAACCCTGACCGAGAGATTTACCCGCAGCCAAGACGAGTAACATCTCTTGTGGGCGACTTCTCGCAGCAAGATCCTACCCACGTACATCCTCTGTCAACCCTCAATGTCGTCGTCACCGCGCTGAGGTACACCACGGCAGCAACTATTCATATGCTGGCTTGAAAACAATGTCCGACAAAGTTACACCCCATGGCACACATGCAAGCTCAAAGTCCCACGATCATAATTCGTACCGATTAGGAAAAGTCTGAATGTCCGTATCCACTGGTCCAACTCGCCCGAGTGTTGGGACCAAACAGGTGAAGCCACGCCTGACGCATTTTGCTTCCCCATTCTGTCGTGCTAAGGGCACAGCTGAAACAACGTTAAAGGTGTCTAACGTAAGATGAAAAAGAATGTACCTATTTGTGTGCCCACAAACGTCCAGGACCTGCGGGCTGCTCCCCGCTGATCTCCGGAGAGCGCAGCCTTTTTGCCCGGGAAGCTCAATACACGGTTGTGAGGTTAAGCAGTCATGGGCAGGACGTGACGATTCCTTGGGTGAGCCCAGAACCAGAGCATCATGTGTCGGCTCTGCATTTATGGAAGCCTCCTTGGATGGCGGGGAATGCCCATGATCTGCCCCTGCCTTCCCTTGAGGGCTGACAATTCTACATATGGCTGCCTTAAGGACGACATTTCGGGGGCCAAACCTGTTAAGGTCAAAGAGGACACCACACAAATGAGGCAACATCTCAACCCACACAAAACAATGGCCACAGTCAACCTAGAAATAGGCTTGACGTCTTCCTCCGAAGTCGGAGTACATCTGCCGGAGAGGCGGGGAACGAGAAATGCGAACTAATAAGCCAGTAAAACGGATGTACACGCAAAACTCAGGTCAAGGTAAAAGCCAAAAGTCCATTTTGGACGAACAACCGCGACTTACCGCCGGAATTCACAGCCGGTGAACAAGAAGAAGAAGAAGAAGATAATAGGCAACCTTATTTCATTCAAAAACTCAAATATCATTAAAAGTAACTAATAATGCAACTAGAAACTCTAATATCATAAAGCACCAAAAAAAAAAAAAAAAAACACACACAACTGGTAGACCCTCAGGCTGGGTGTCAAATAAAATTTGACAACTTCATTAAAACACTAAATGACTGAAAGAATTAGTGAGTCATAGATGTTAATGTCCGCACATATGAAAAAAAAAGAACATAGATATTTCTTCTCTCAATGTCAAATCACAAGATAAAGGGAAACAATAAATAAACTTACTTGGATTGAAATGATCCGAACATGAAAGGTAGCCTCCATGCTTGCACTCTGCATCTGAGCCCCATCTGTCATTAACCACAATACGGTCTTTCACAGGACTGGAATTAAAGCGGTAAAATGAAACAGGAGGGTATATTTAAGGAACTACCATGAATTAGGGTGCAAAAGTTGAGTTTTTTAACCTTTAAAAAATTTTTACAAAATTAGGGAATTACTCAGAATTATGAGCTAAAAATCTGGAGGTCAGTATGTACCCCCAAGTCAATTTGTACACCACAATTTACAGTAGTTCTTACAGTGGTTCCAACTATTGGTCTTTTGAAATTGCACAGAGCGGACAGGGGAAGTGTGATCTTCTAGAGTTATACTAGAAAATGTATAGACACAGATATTACCAAAGTGTCTGTAGAAATTATATAATTATATAAAATAGAAATCTTTAGAAATTGATACAGGAAAATCCTTTGGAACTCACATAGTTCATGAATTATCAGAAATTAATAGAACTTGGGAATCTATGATGATGAAAGGGTACACATGCAGTTTGTATGACTTTTTCATACTGTATCTTTAATAGACACGTGCAGTTTGTATGTTTTTCTAAACTGTCATTTTACACAAATTCCAAGAGCATGTAAACTATTAAACTTGCACATATTCTAAGCCGATGTCTGCGTCACTGTTTAGTTTATGAGTGCAATTTTTAGGGAGATCCCTGGGGATCATCGCTGGAGCTATAGAGTTCATGCTCTGTGCGGCGCTCTCGGCAGGCAGCTAGCCATTTTGCGGAGAGAGACCGAGCCATATGGAATAAAACCCAGTGCAATGAAGTCAATCCTCTTGACTTTAACCTATAACCTTTAACACTTGTGGCCCACAGAAACAGGGTAAACTGTTTTGTGGCCTACCTGACAGCTTACCAAGCATGACATGAAAAAAAATGTAGGCGCCAGTCTGTTTATTAAATCTGATATCACAAAATTACAGTTCAGGTAATGCGACATTTGCTGCTGGTTAAAGGTTGGAAATCTGATATGTGTGGCTGCAGCGCTGTGTCTGATAGATAAAGCACTGCAATAACATTCATCAAATTTGTCTATTTGGTTTTCAGTAACTGTTTTATGTGGCTAAATAGAGTTTCCAGGATTTGTACTTGTTTAATACTCATCCCTGGGGCGTTAATCCTTCAGGCTTCAATCCCGAAAGAGAGAAACTATCCACCTGACCTCGGTACATGATAAGACATACATTTTTGGGAGCCTACCTGGACTTTTCCGTGGCCCACCACCCACAGGTTGAAAAACACTGTTCTAGACCACAGTGTCATATCCTGGGGTGGTCAATTTTCTTACTCACAAACAACCTTAGAAAACTATTTTTAAGAAGCTCTTAAGTTATAAAAATTATCTATGAGGGGAAGTCAATAAGTAAGTCACAAATGGTTGTATTAGGTAAAAAAAATTTGATAAGAACTTGAAAACTGTTTATTTTTACACATACACTGTCCCTTTATTTTTCAACATAATTTCCACCAACATTGATGCATTTGTCCCATTGTTTTATCAGTCCTCCCAGACCTGCTGCGTAGAACTGTTGCTCTGTTTTCTAAACCACATTTTCACTTCACATTCAACTTCTGCGTCATTCGCAAAATGTCTCCCACCAAGGTGGGTTTTCATGCACCAAAAGGGTGGATATCACTAGGGGCTAAGTGTGGGCTTTAAGGTGTCAACCGTTACTCACCTGTCATCTCTAATCATCTCCTCCACCTGCTGCCTGGATGCATCTGTTGTAATCTCAACAGGATGACCAGATAGGACTTCATCAACAACCATAAAAAATCCTTGAGAAAAATTGTTACCCAGCTATGCACAGCTTTACAGGATAAATATTTGTCAGCATAAATAGGAAGCATTTCCTTACGAATGTCCTTTGCAGGCAGCCCTTTTGCTCCCCAAAAAACTCACAAGAGCATGTTGTTCTTCGAGGGTATGTATGTTATGTCACCATTTTGTTTCTGTGTTGCGAATGCGCTAACAACATCTAGCACCACCTAATGAACAGAGACATAAAGTTCAATGTTGCTGCCACCTAATGACACCTTTAGAAACCACTAACTACATTAACCTGCCATTCCATAACTATCTGTGACTTACTTTTTGACTTTCCCTCTCATCTATGCCTTGACAAGCTTATATAAGAAGAAGACTGACTGGAATGAATATTCTTCTTCTTCTTCGCGTTCACTGGCTGTTAACTCTGAAGGAAAGTTTTAGGTGTTCATCCACCTTTAGACTTTAGTCTTGCTCCAGAACCTTAGTGTTGCGTGTACATCTGTTTCACAGATCTGGCTTATCTGTATGCAGACTTGTAGTTCCTTGCCTCTCAAGCAGATGCACTCCGACTTCGAAGGATGTCCCCAATTAGTCGACTTCTATGACATGCTTGTTGGGAGGCAGTGGGTCTATTTTTTTCCCCCCACATACGGGGAGGAATGAAAATTGAATGAGATAGATATTACCTGTCATTGTAGAGCCATGCGAGAAATTTGGTAGAATTCCAGTAGGAAGAATTTGCCATCCAGTCCCCATCAGACCATATAAGGTCTGGCTGGTAATTGTTGACGAGTTCATACAGCTCTGGCAAAGCTTTTTCCTGAAGACAGACAAACAATAAACAAGATATTATGAAAACAGCACAATATTTTTTCCTTCAAAAAATTTGCCTCTGGTGAACACAAGTTTTTCACAAGAATGTATCTTAACTCTTCGTGCCACATCCAGTTGTTACACTAACACTCACTGCTACAGCTGTTAATTTAACTCTTCTCTCAAAATACTATTATTTAAAAACATTCCAACCCAAACATTTGCTCCTTAAAGTAAAAACTTTCTAGGAGAGAATGGGCTAGATTATATCTTCAAATAATGCAGACATTATCAATACACTGCACAATTTACTGCCAGGCATATTACGCTGTATCATGTCAGGCGCATTACTGCAGAGTTACATCAACATATAATAAAGCATAAAAACTGAATAAATCCAAAAGAGAGGTTAATGGTTTCTCTAGATGCATCGTGTTCGTCTTGTTGCTAGACGTTCACTGTAGTCACATGAATTAAACTTCAAATTTACTATAAATTTTGTCTGTTTGCAAAAGAGGGGGTTTTTGATTTTAATCATCAAGAGCTTTCAGCCAGTCTCAGCATCTGCCTGATTGGTGTGTGGTAAATCATATGGAAAGCATCGTCCTGGTCACTTACATGTCCGGAATCAATCAGATGACATCCTATAGAAGAAGTGGGTTCCTTCCTCTTGACTGATCTCTACGACCTTGTGGAATCACTTAACTGTGACATGTAGCCATTAGGGTATATGTTTTGCCATTGTTGTCCTACAGGAAACACACCTCGGTGACGAGATGGTTAAAATTGCGGGCTTCCAATCCTTCTACAATAGACGGCACCTCGGACAGCTCATTCTTGTTCGTGACCACATACTGGTGTCTGAGGTGGACATGTCTGAGTGGGATAATGACGACCTACAAGTACACGCAGTCAGAGTGATGGGCCCGGCCCAGTTTGTGATTGTCAATGTGTACGCCTGCAATGGAAAGGTGGATACAGCGAAATGGCAGAGTTTGCTCCAGACTGAGGAAAAGAAAGTCCTTTACTGCGGAGATTTCAACGCCAGAGGAAACCAGTGGGGCAATGTAATTACCAATAAACAGGGGGAAGACCTGGAGGATGCTCTAGTGTCTGCCGATCTAGTATGCTTGAACGACGGAAAGGTTACCCGAATGGCAACCCGACAAGGGGATTCTGACAGCGTAATTGACCTGGCCCTAGTGTCTCCCTCCATTGCATCAGGATGCAGGTGGAGCACACTGGGATACCATGACAGTGATCACTTTCCGTGCGTCGTCCTGGTGGAGAAGAGCAACAACAAAGGTCATGTAATCAATGTGCCTGCTTTTATATATGACCGTACAGGGCAAGATGCCATTAGCAAAATCAGACGACGTAATACAAGAGCAGATCGCAGACGGCGGGAGAGATGGGCCCAGCCACCATGGTGGAATGAAGTAGTCAACATAGCATGGCTAGAAAAAAGGAACGCTGTCAAGGCATGGCAAAAGGCAAGGAAAATTGATCCGTCACTTTCTGAACGCCTGATCAGTCTGAAAGATGAGGTCAACAAGCGGACAGTGGCTTTCAAGTTAATTGCGAAAGAAGCCAAGACAGCGAAATGGAACGAATTCTGCAAGAGCGTTTGCTCCGAGGGATCTCTTGTGACATTCTGGCGCCTTCAACGGAGCATGCACGGCGCCGCACGACCAAGGGGTATCCCTGATTTTCAGGGTACAGACCTGATATGGCAGAGAACTGATGCTGATAAAGGAAAAACCCTCCTTGCGCGCTACTTGGAGCAAACTGACCAAAAAGACGAAGCTGCAAGAATAGGGGTTAAGATGAAACTGTCGATGCTGTGCGAGAACACTGAGCTAGGCACTGATTTCACAATCACTGCAGACACCTTAAGAACTTGCCTCAAGAAATCGCGCAGCACTGCTCCAGGTCCTGACGGCATCCGATACAATGACATGCTGATGATGTCGAATGCTGATTTGAAAAGCGTGGCAAAGGAATTCAATATCAGCATCCAGAGTGGCCAGATACAAGAGGAATGGCTCCATAGTTATTTGTTTCCACTACCAAAGCCTAATAAAGACCACTCAAAGATCTGCGGCTACAGAATCATCTCGATGCAGAATACTGTTGGCAAACTTTTGGAAAAAATTGTCGCACAAAGATTGACCACCTACTTGGAACTACATGATAAGTTCCCATCAACACTTGGAGGGTACAGATTGAAGAAAGAGACATGGTCCAATGCTGCTGTTTTCGCCTACGATGTGTACGAGGGATTTCAGATTAAAGAAGAGACATGTGCGGCAGTGTTGGACTTAGAAGATGCCTACAATAAAGTACCATATGATTATTTAATGCAATTACTGCTTAAACTAGAAGTCAATCCTATTCTGATCCGCTGGATTGCTGCGGTCCTGTTCCAGAGAAAGATTGTACTAAGATGTGGTAGCTGGTCCTCAGAACCGCAAACGATATGTCCAGGCTTGCCACAGGGATCACCGCTATCACCAGTCTTATTCAATGTTTATACGGTGATGATCACTGAGCAGCAGTTGAATGGAAAGGGAAGGACTTTGTCATTTGCTGATGACATTTTGATTTATCGACGAGGGCGTGATAGACAGGAGATCGCCAGCACAATGCACAAAGAACTCGATCGAATTGCCGCCTGGTGTGATGGTTCCAATGCCTATGTCAATCCCTCGAAGGCATCAGTGTCATGGTTCTCTTTGAACAATCACATTGTCAAGTCGGACTTACCAGAAGTGAAAATGCGTGATAATGTATTGATCAGAACCAACGTTATGACGTTTCTCGGGGTGAGGTTCGATCGCAGCTTGTCATTCAGGGAACACGTTGACCATGCGATAACAAAAGCACGCAAAGGTCTATCTGCAATGAGGATTATGGCTGCTTCCAATATCGAGCAAAGACTGCTGGTGCTTCTATTCTATGGTCTGGTCCTTTCCCCCATTGAATACGCTCTGGCCATCCTCACTGTCAGTGCTACCCAGATTGAACGACTCGAGAAGGTGCAAAATGAAGCCATGCGTATTATTTTGGGATGTACAAGAGACACATCTTGTGGAGCAATGAGGTATCTACTTGACTTTCCAACAATGAACCAAAGGATCAGGATGTGGAGGGCTCGGGCATACCTCAAAATATGTGCTGATAAGAAACACCCACTGCATCAAGCGCTTTTTAGTGAAAAGGGCGACAGACTGAAGAGGGGAAAATCGTGGCTAGGTCGGGCAGAAGATGTTATTAGGCAAATATGCAGCCTAACCGACATCATACCTGGTGCAGAATGGATACCTGTGCCTCAGGCGTTTATTTGTACATTTTCCTGTATTGTCACACTCAACAGGCGATGTAGAGAAGATAATCCTGTTGCTGTTAATGCAGAGGTCAACGCTCTCATCGGTGAAAATTCAGACGAAGCAGATGCACTAATCTACACAGACGGATCAGTTATACGCCAAAGAAGAAGCGCATGGGCATTTACAGCACGCTCAGCGGGCAGAACAGTCAAAGAAGCCAACGGCGCCTTCTCCATGACAACCAGCAGCATGACGATGGAGGTGATGGCAGTGACGCAAGCGTTTGCCTGGCTTGAAACACAAAAATACACCCGCATATGTATACTCAGTGATTCAATGAGTATGATCCGGAGGGTTCAGGCAGGTTCAGTGCGAAGACAATGGCTTGAATCAATTCAGATGTCCACTGTGCGAGGAGTCACCTTTATTTTTGTTCCGGGACACGCAGGCGTCGATGGAAATGAAAGAGCTGACAGGTTGGCTGGATCCGCTATCACTACCGACGGTCGGCCTATGGATCATGCTGATATTATCAATGCCCTCAGAGAAATGGGAAGGATAGAGGACTTTGGTGGCAGTGAATCCACATCACTCGCCAGAATGGCAGACTTGGGAATTAAGATCGGCACAGCAAAAAACGAGACGCACACCGGACACGTCAGAAGACTTGTTAATCAACATAGAACTGGTACTATTAGCCATCGGACGTTGGGATTCATACTGAGGGGAGGATCTGAGCACCTATGGACATGTCCGGAGTGCAATGATGATAACCCAACTAACTAACTAACTAACTAACTAACTAATGTTTTGCCATTCTTATGTTCCAAGTTGTCTCTACATTCAACCATTTGATTTGATTTGATTTGATTCAAGAACCGACATCACAGCACTCGGGGCATTCCCATAAGCGCTCCGTCCCCATCTTCAGCCGCCAGCGAAGAGTTCTGATACTAATGGTGCCAGTAGCTTTCTGATTAAACGTCCGTCTCGCCTTTCCTCTGAGCCTTGAGCTTCTGCCAGAACCTCTCGTCACCCCCAACTGCATCAATCTCACCAGACTGTGGTGATCCATCTGCTCCTCCGCATTGTACACGCTCTCCCACAAGGCACTAACCACGTCTGCCCTATCATGTAGCAGTATTCCACCAAGTTGTGCAGAGCCAGCCAGTCTGTCCGCCTGTTCATTTCCCAACACACAGGCGTAACCCGGTGAAAAAATCCAGACAATACTCCTCACTCGTGTCCTCCGCAGCGAAGCATGCCACTCTGCACGAAGCATACCTGTTCTGATCTTCCTCAGCATGCTTTCTGAATCAGTTACAATTACAATGTGTGTGTGTCGTGTTCTATAGCCAGCGGAAAGCTGCAGTGACTGCCTCCACCTCCATTCTTAAGCTGGATGTTGTGGTATCATATGCTAGGCTCTCCTGTACCAAACATCGACCATTAACTTTTGCTAAAAAGCCCCAAGCACTTCTTTTGCCTCCTGACACTGAACCGTCTGTAATAATTGCTGAATTTCCACCTCTGTGGCACCTACTGGCCAGTCTCTGCATTTCAGGCTCAGGGTGATTATGACTCTACACAAGTCTGACTGCTCAGGTGGCACTTTGACCCACTCCTCTCCTCGCCTAATGTTCTCAAGGATGCAAACCTGTCTGATTGTGTCTTCTGCCTGAGCCATCCATGACCTCCCTCTTATCAGCCGCTGCACCCAGAGCTTCATGCAGAGGGTGGTCTGTGTCTGCAGCTACCCTGAGATATGACTTCGCCTACAGCACCTTGTGCCTACCTGCAACCGTCGGCAAACCAAGGATGTATCGCAAACACACCACTGGGGTGTCTCTGGTGCAACCCAGAATGACCCGCATAGCCGCGTTCTGTATGCGCTCTAGTTTGTCCATCTGACTCTTTGAGACGGTAAGCAGTCCCAGGCCATAATCCACCACTGACAGGATCAGGTGCTGATATAGTGTGAAAAGCATTCTCTGCTCTATGTCAATTGCAGCCATAGTCTTAAGTGCACTAAGTTCTTTTTGGCATCTCGTCACAACACTCTCTACATGGTCCTTAAATGACAGGCTCCTGTCAAATGTAATTCCCAGATACTTCAGTTTGCTCTCTCTGTTGACGTCTCTACCATCTATCGTGAGACTTGGGACATTAGTTTTAACGATTCTGTTGTTCAGAGAACACCACAAAACAGACGCCTTTTCCGGGTGGACGACAGACTTCATTTCTGTACACCACTCAGTCACTTTGTATATTTTAAAATATACATTCAACCAATGAAAGTAAACAGGCACTTACATGTAAAATAACAAATACAATAGGATTTGGTGTACTAGGACACAAGCTCTTTAATAGGCAGGGCGAAGATAGAAGTGGTCTTGTACCTCACTACCAGAACAGCAGCAAAGAATGATTGTTTCAACAGCTATTTTAAATCCGTCCTGCATGCACTGCATGACGTCATATTGTCAATAAGTTAGTTAGAATACTTGTAATTTGGGCACTGTAATTTTATTTGGGGTGGGGTTGGATGGGGTGCAGTGACGTTTAATTAATCCTGTGGGGTACCCACTCAAAAGTAGAGTTGACCAGAGAGTTTCAACTTCCGCTGCCAGTGTATCTTCGGTGCAAATCTTTTTGACGTTTATGAAAGTTTTACGAAAAACTGTTTCCAGCAACAAAAAGACAGGCTGAAAAATACTGACAGTAAATCAACATCATCATCATGTCATGCAGCTCCAATTATGGTCTGAAAACAAGCTTTGATCACTGGCTGTCATGCTCTTCTTCTTCTTCTTCTTCTTCTTCCTCTTATAGTCCATGATGTTTGGCGTTGGTAATCATGTGTCTATTCATAACCTTCTGTCTCATGTACTTTCAAACAATTCTGACACAGGTGAGCAATCTCCCACAGCAAATGTTGGGGGTGTAAATATTTGCTTACCTAAATGTTAAAATGTGATTTGTACTTTTTCTTAACTAATTCTAGCACAGTGTTATACCCGTCTCTCTTTAATAAATATGTTACTTACATTGACAAATTCCTGGGTAGTAAAATTGTTTGCCTGATCTCTCAGAAACAAGGGATTGAAAAACTCAAACAGCGAATGATAGGCTCCAAAGGCCAATCCCTTCTTACGCAATGCACTTGCCAGTTCACCTTACAAACAGAAAACATTACCATTCTTTTAAAGTTTCTATGCTCAGCAACAGAGAACTTTACAACAGCTACTACAGTGATTACTGATGGAAATTATATTTCTAATAAATCTCAGGCTTTTTATTTGTGTGTGTCTGCTCTCAAAAGGGCAGTTGGCACTTTGTTTTGTGGTTTACATCTAGACTTGATTATTGTGGTTTACATCTAGACTTGATTATTGTGGTTTACATCTAGACTTGATTATTGTGATTTACATCTAGACTTGATTATTGTGGTTTACATCTAGACTTATTGTGGTTTACATCTAGACTTGATTATTGTGGTTTACATCTAGACTTGATTATTGTGGTTTCCATCTAGACTTATTGTGGTTTACATCTAGACTTGATTATTGTGGTTTACATCTAGACTTGATTATTGTGGTTTATATCTAGACTTGATTATTGTGGTTTACATCTAGACTTGATATTTGCACCTTTTAGTGTAAAACATCTAATTTCAGCAAATCCTTAATTAGTATCCTTTTATGGCATGCTTGTAATGGAGCAGTGGGTCTCACCTCCTCCCTCCTTCAAAAATGGGTCCATATGCAACAGTGGAAAATCCTCAGCAATAAGACAAAGCAATCAAAAACTTCAGCAGTAGCAAACATTATTATATATAGTTTATAAGCTTTACTTTTATCCATTAGCCAAATATTTCTGCTGCATACATCAGTACAGACATTCATTAGTCTCTGAACTGGGATTCAAACTTATGACAAAAAAGAGTATTAATGTATTTTTTCTTTGTCTAAGATAATATTTCTTCCCACTTTTTAAAGTTTTAAAATGGGGTCATATATACTCAGAATGTGTTCAAAACATTTTTTAAATTTAGGTTGAAAAAACAAATAGGGGCATCTTATACACGGGGGCATCTTATACATGGGGGCATCTTATACATGGGGGCATCTTATACATGGAGGCATCTTATACACAGAAAAAAAAATGGTAGTTCTAGAACTCCAGTGGCAAACTCCAGGGATAAGCTCCAGAAAAAAAAATAACTTTGTCAACACAGATTAAATATAGAACAAGAATTTTAGAACATGAGACAAACAGATTAGTCATTTTTTAACAAACATCCCAAATTTATTATAATCCGTTACCTGGTTTATTTGATTCATTTTTTGAATAATGTGTAACAGTTGGTGTGAGAATTTTCAACCTACCTACAAGATCACGCTTGGGCCCTACATCCACAGAATTCCAGTTCCATGAGTACCTTGTTGCCCAGTTACAGAAACCCTCATGGTGCTTTGTTGTCAAGACAACATATCTTAAAAATAAGAAACATGTTTATAAAAAAAGAACAATCAATGTTTATCAACTAATAGATTTGTTACAACTATGAATTCCTTTCAATCTAGTGTTATTTACTAGGAAACTGTGGCAAAAGTTCACAAATATGTAATGTCTAATGAAATAAGTATGCGACTATCTGTTGAGCTGAGTTGAGTTGAGTCAAGAATTTACATCACAGCACTCAGGGCTATCCCATGCATGCTCCGCCCTCATCTTCAGCAGCCAGCACAGAGTTCCAGTACTGATGGTACCGGTCACAATCTGGTTAAATTCCGTCTTGCCTTTCCTCTGAGTGTAGTGAGCCGGCCAGACCCTCTGGTTACACCCAGGTGCCTCATTCTCTCCAGGCCATAATAATCTTCTTTCTCTACTGATTCCTTTGCTTGTTCTTAAAGGGCCTTGATCACATCTGCCTTATCATGTATATGTGACTATCTGTATGATTTGTGAGTGTGTGTGGGGGGGGGGGGGGGGGGGGTGTTACACAATAGTACATAGCATAGGCCTTTTTTTTGGCATTATTTATACAGTGCTACTGTAATAGACACTTTGAGGTGAATACCAGCACTGATTTAGACCCTTTGTAGTCAAAACTGGCACCTTTATTTCTAGCCAGAAAAAGATCTGACTATTTGTGCTAAGCTGTCTTCATGTTTTTGCCTCTTTCAAAACATTTTTAGCACTCATTTTATTGCCCTAGGTACTTTTATGATTCTTCAGTAGAAGAAGGCATCAAGGGATTTTTACTTCTTCCTTACTTACTGTCCAGGATTCACAGCAGTCTGTAAAGTTAGTTCCATGCAACATGCAAGAACATTTTGTTCTAAACTTTAATTACAAAAATTTACTGCAAGAGACTTTTAGAATTTTTTTTAATGCAGTTTTTACTTGTTTTATTCATTCATTTTATTCAGCTTGGCTGCTGTTGCTCTTCCTGGTGATAATTTACTTTTTAATAAGGTAGACATGGTGAAAACTCTGGAACAAGGTACATAAAGAAGCAGAATGGATGGAACATCCAGACCTGGTGAAACTGATTCTTATGGGCGTGAGCAGAGGGTCTAGATCAGTGTTCTACAACCTGTGGGCCATGGAACAATTTTACCTTATTTTGGTGGGAAGTGGGCATAAAAAGGTTGAGGAACACTGAGCTAGAAAATACCCAAAATGTAAAGGAAAAGTAAAGTGGACTGTTCAATTGAGAAAGCAATTTCATGAGAGACTGAAAGAGTTGAGGAAAAGATCTGTAATCTCATGTGAGTCTCAGAGAGTTGAGGAAACAATTACATTTGAGACTGAAAGAGTTGACATTCATTGGCTGTAAAACTCAGCAGAAAGTTCTGGTTGTTCATTCATTTCACAGATCTAGTCTAATTTATGCAGATTATTGGTTCCTTGCCTCTCGGGCAGATGTACTTTGACTTTGGAGAAATCTCCTAATTAGTCTACTCCTCTGGTATGCTTGTTAGGGATGCAGGGGATCTGTTTTCTCCTATAATTGGGCCCTGGAACCTGAACAGGGGAAACAGTGAGTAATGTTATGTGAGAGTGAAAGAGTTTAGTAAACAGTAGGTAACTGTATGTGAGAGTGAAAGAGTTTAGTAAACAGTAGGTAACTGTATGTGAGAGTGAAAGAGTTCAGCAAACAGTAGGTAACTGTATGTGAGAGTGAAAGAGTTTAGAAAACAGTAGGTAACTGTATGTGAGAGTGAAAGAGTTCAGCAAACAGTAGGTAACTGTATGTGAGAGTGAAAGAGTTTAGAAAACAGTAGGTAACTGTATGTGAGAGTGAAAGAGTTTAGAAAACAGTAGGTAGTCTTGTGTGAGAGTGAAAGAGTTTAGAAAACAGTAGGTAACTGTATGTGAGAGTAAAAGAGTTTAGAAAACAGTAGGTAACTGTATGTGAGAGTGAAAGAGTTCAGCAAACAGTAGGTAGTCTTGTGTGAGACCAAAAAAGCTGAGGAAAAGGTAAGTAAAGGTAAGTAGTCTCATGTGACACTGAAATAGCTGAGCAAACATTAAGAAAAGTTATGTGATACTGAAAGAAGTGAACAAACAGTAAGTAATTTAATGTGATATTAAAAGAGTTGAGCAAACAGCAAGTATTTGTACATGGGATTGAAAGAGATGAACAGACAGTAAGTAATTTTATGTGGAACTGGGGGAACTGAGGAAACAGTTGATAAATTTATGTGGGACTGTAAGATTTGAGGACAAGAAGAAAGCAATCTCACTGAAGCTACAGCTATAAGGCTGTGACGTGTTAGGCAATTCATGGTGATGAAAAAAGGCTCTTAATGATGATACTGATGAAGACACACTTCAAATGTCAAACAAAAAGACAAGCGCTTACTTTGCTCCTGATGCTTTAAAAATATCCGCCCACTGATCAGGGTTGTAAAACTCCGCAGTAAACATGGGCGCAAAGTCGGCGTAGGTAAAGCCTGGTCTGTAATTATTCTTCATAAAATCAACAACACTAAGCTCTGGATTAGGTCCTTTCCAGTAATACCAGAACCATGCTCCCCCATAGCTCGGAACTGAGAACACACCCCAGTGAAGAAAGATACCAATCTTAGCCTCGTCGTACCACTGCGGTATAGGACGTGAATCTATAGATTCCCAGGTAGGGTCATATCGCACTTCATTGTTCTTCACATCTTTCCCTGAAAATCTTAGTGCAGATCTATGTTCTTTTTCTTTGTGAATTATCCAGTGCGGTGAATCTTTCTTATGGTCAACGACATTGTTCACCCCTACATTCCGAACGACTCCGCTTTGTTCACGTTCCTGTGAAAATGTCGCCACGGCAACGCCCTTCTTCTCAAGCCTAGCAAAGTCGCTGCCCGGGGTCATCATTTCGTTGGCCAAACAATTTATTACAACTGTTAGAAAAAGTAAGGCTGTCAGACCGTTTTGCAGTTGATAAGGCCTCATAACTGTAACCTTTTCTACGTTAGCAGAGACAGCAGTATTTAATATGAAATGCAGCTTTTCGAATTCTGAACTTTAGGAGCCGTCACACACTGTTTACTCTTGCAGTGTCCACATCACATGACTTTTATGATGTCCAATAAAAAGTAACATTGCATTTGCAGCGAAACAAAACCATTGAAGTGACTTGTGACCGCCTGAAAACTATTATAGGTACAGTATACAGCTCTCGCTCGCAACGCGTCACGTCAGTTTCGATAGCCCTGGAGAAATTGTGAAGCATACTGTCCGCCCTTCTTAGGATTATTTTATCAGTGCTGTAAAAGTCGAGAGGATCGACTTCATTGCGCCGGGTTTTATACCATTTAGCTCGGTTGTCTCTCCGCAGAACGGCTGGCCGCTTGGCGAGATCGCCGCAAAAAGCATGAACCCCGTAGCTCCGTCGATGATCCCCATGGATCTCCGTAAAAACTGCACTCGTGGACTGAACGGCGCTGCCGGGAAACGAACCCAGACCTTCAGAACGTGAGGCAGACGGCTTGACCACTTCGTGTCGGTGCTCTACTCCACTTTACTTACCAATGTTCATTTTGTCCAGAAGAGAATGCCACCAAGAAGCAAGCCACGGCCATCAAGAAAGCCACAGCTAACGATAAAGCCACCAGCCACCACGTGCCTGACAAAGCCGACAGTAAAGATTTTCCTGACAAGCCTTCCGTCAAAGCAGACCTATATAAGGTTAGTTGCGTATCCTTTACAGGACGTTGCCGAACCAACTCTAACAGCCCCTGGCTGTTGTGTGGTTTCTCTTGGCAAATTTACGTCCAGTAGTTTGCCATTGTTCCTGGACGGTCGGCTTTCTTGATACCACTGTCGAAACCAACGCAAGGCGCATAGTCCGCAGCTGGGATCGAACCGGGCCTCCGGGCATTACGAAGCGTTCGCATCGACCTAACCACAGAGCCGACCAAAGCAGACCACAGAGCCGACAAAAGCAGACCACAGAGCTATATTCGTGGATTGTGGATAGATGGATGGATTGTCCTCTGTGTGTGCTAATATATGAAATCAGGTAAAAACAAGGGCCTGGTGACACGAAGCGTTCTCTCTTACTGTCAGCTATCAAATAGAGACAGTAAGGATGATTGTTTTACAAAGAAATCAGTCGAGCCCAAGCGTAAAGGTGGTAAAAACCAGAATGTAAAGGGGGCATGGAAGGAGAGATAGGAAGAATTAATGAGTGGATGGTGGAGTGAATTGATGAGTGGGTCGTAGGATAGATGGGTGGGTAGATGAATCTATGGAATGATCGATGACTTTATTCGTGAACGAATGGAATGGATGGATCTGCCTATATGTAGGCATATATATATGAAATTAGGTAAAAAAATTTGGTCTAGTGACACTCTCTTACTGTAAGCTCTCAATTAGAGACAGTAAGGATGACTGTTATACAAAAGTATCAGTCGAGCACAAGAACAAAACTGGTAACAACAAGAGTGAAAGGGAGCGGTGGAAAATAGCATGAGTGGAAGATGGGGTGAGTGGATAAATAGGTGGGGAGATGAATGGGTGGGATGATATATGGCTATGTTCGTGGATAGATGAAATGGTAGATGGATGGATCGGCATATATGTATACTAATATATTAAATCAGGTTAAAACAAGGGTCTGGTGACACGATGCTTCTCTCTTACTGTCATTTAGCAAGTAAAGACAGTAAGGATGATTGTTATACAAAGTATCAATCGAGCCCAAGCGCCAAAAAACATCATCTTACCAAAGATACCTGGCGTGGAGGTAGCAGAAACTAGTGATGCATTGTACCGCGGGTGTGTGTGCAAAGAAACGTGGGGGAGCGATTAATGGCTGGACAGAAAGATGAATAGGCTGATCAGATTAGGATGCATAGATGATAGGAGGGGGGGGGGGACGAGTGAATGGATGGATACAAGGAAGGATGGATGGATTGGTCTGAATGTATGTTAATCAGTAATCATGTGAACAAAGGTCTCGTGATGCAGTGCTTCTCTCTTACTGTCAGCTATTACACAGATACAGTAAGGATGATTGTTATACACAGCATCTGTCGAGCCCAAACAGCATACCCCCAGTGTGAACAAATACTTGCCAATTTGGTGGCCGAAACGAGTTATGTTCACTGTATGTGGAGAGTGCGTTCAAACACTAGAGTTATTCCACGTAGGACAGTCCATCCATATGTGACTGGGATGAATGGGTGGACGAATGAAAGTATGTGTGAATGAGAGAGAGAGAGAGAGAGAGAGAGAGAGAGAGAGAGAGAGAGAGAGAGAAGAAGGGAAAAATGGGAAAAGAGAGAGAGATAAGATAAGAAAAGGGAGAAGGGAGAAGAAGAGTGAGGGTAGGAAAAACCGGAGATAACTAGGTAGATAAATAGAGAGAGAGAGAGAGAGAGAGAGAGAGAGAGAGAGAGAGAGAAAGAGAGAGAGAGAGAGAGAGAGAGAGAGAGAGAGAGAGAGAGAGAGAGAGAGAGAGAGAGAGAGAGAGAGAGAGATGTTCACTGGTATCCAAGTATATTATGCAGTGTCAAGCAACTAGCATATCATGTATTATGATGCAACATGATCTGTTCGGGCTTAGGAAATAACTCTATTAGTTAGAGAATATCATGAAACTCACAAAACCAACGTACAATATGGAGTGGGTGGGGGGAAGGGAAGGGTGCGTTGTAGGGGCACTGGTAGTTTAGATGAAGCTGTGTTGGATATTGAGGACTAGTGGTGAGAGGTTACCCATCAAATAGATAAGTCGGTTTTCCAAAATTTTCCGATGTCGATCATCAGATGAGTGGGATCTGATGGCCGTGACCTGAATGTCAGCGGTCCCACGATGGTCAGCGCTGTTGAAATGAGTGGAAACTGGCCTGGCTGTTTGGTTAGTGATGTAATGAAGGTGCTGGCGAAATATGTCGGCTAAACGGAGACCGGTTTCCTCGATGTACTTGATGTTGCACCGTTTGCAGATTATAGCATAGATGACGTCCCTGCTGGTGCAGGGGAATTCCTGTTTGATGCTAAAGGTGCAGAATGGATACCTGTGCCTCAGGCGTTTATTTGTACATTTTCCTGTATTGTCACACTCAACAGGCGATGTAGAGAAGAGAATCCTGTAGCTGTTAATGCAGAGGTCAACGCTCTCATCGGTGAAAATTCAGACGAAGCAGATGTACTAATCTACACAGACGGATCCGTTATACGCCAAGGAAGAAGCGCATGGGCATTTACAGCACGCTCAGCGGGCAGAACAGTCAAAGAAGCCAACGGTGCCTTCTCCATGACAACCAGCAGCATGACGATGGAGGTGATGGCAGTGACGCAAGCGTTTGCCTGGCTTGAAACACAAAAATACACCCGCATATGTATACTCAGTGATTCAATGAGTATGATCCGGAGGGTTCAGGCAGGTTCAGTGCGAAGACAATGGCTTGAATCATTACAGAAGTCCACTGTGCGTGGAGTCACCTTTATTTTTGTTCCGGGACACGCAGGCGTCGATGGAAATGAAAGAGCTGACAGGTTGGCTGGATCCGCTATCACTAACGACGGGTCGGCCTATGGATCATGCTGATATTATCAATGCCCTCAGAGAAATGGGAAGGATAGAGGACTTTGGTGGCAGTGAATCCACATCACTCGCCAGAATGGCAGACTTGGGAATTAAGATCGGCACAGCAAAAAACGAGACGCACACCGGACACGTCAGAAGACTTGTTAATCAACATAGAACTGGTACTATTAGCCATCGGACGTTGGGGTTCATACTGAGGGGAGGATCTGAGCACCTATGGACATGTCCGGAGTGCAATGACGATAACCCAACTAACTAACTAACTAACTAACTAACTAGCTAACTGCTAAAGGTGATTTAGAAAAAGTCACATTTGAAATATTCAGTACGTATGGGCAGGTGTTGCACTGAGATCTAAGGCAAGCCTTAGTGTCCGGATGAGTCCCCGTACCCTGCTGTGTATCAGTAAATCTCTGAGGTTGCTGTCCCGCTTATATACCAGTAGATTTGTCTCTGAGAACACAACGTTAGTTACTGGGTACGCTCGGGGGATAGGCAGATGACAGAATATGATGCTCTTGATAGCAATGTTGTGAGGCTGGTAGATAATGGAAAGTATGGGTTTAAGGTTCTGCTGTTTAGACCTGGGAATGAAAGCATCCACCCTACTTATGTCCTTGGAGCGGCGGAAGGCAGATTTTAAGACCGAATCAGGGTAGCCACGAAATCGGAAGAAATCCATCATTTCGTGGGCCCTACTGTGAAAGTCATTATCATCCTGAAATAATCGTCTGAGACGCAAGAGCTGAGAGAAAGGAATGGCGTCCTTACAAGACCAAGGGTGGGGGAGTTATGGAGTAGACAGGCATGTGTGTCGATCGGTTTATAGTAGACCGGTGGGGTGAGACTACGAGGGTTGATAGAAACGGAAAGGTCCAAGAAATTGACCGAAGAGGAAGAAATCTGGTGGGTTAGTTTGATACTAGTGTGACAATTCGAGAAGAATTCAATGAAGTTCTCCAGTTCCACTCCTGACATATCATCATCTATATATCTTCCACACAGTTTAGGGATTCGACCGGTGTATAATTGCTACACCTGGTACACCAGAAAACCCATAAAGAGACAGGAATAACTCAGGCCCATTTTAGTGCCCATAGCCACCCTCCTAATTTGACAAAAGTACTGGCCGTTAAACTCAAAAGAATTGGGAATCAGAAAAAACTCGGCTGAACGTATAATGGGTTCAATGGCATTGGGTGGATTACTGCGTTTGTCCAGAAAGAAACGCAGCGCCGAGAGGCCATCACTGTGAGGGATGTAGGTATACATCCAAAGTGAAGACCTGATACCTATGGTCTAAGGTGACAATAACAGGCTCAAAAAATACAATTGTATGATTGGTGTCCTTAAGGTAAGAAGGGAGCTCGGTCACAAATAGCTGAAAAATGCT